CACAACCTAGCAAAGCTAAATAATTGTTTTATTCGATTATGTTGTTTTCGTAATTGTGGCAGGCCAAAATCGTAATTGCGATTAAAATACGATGAATTGCACAGCCCTATGCACATGTATGGGTTATTGCACAGGGGAGGAAGACTAAGCGGTAATAGTGCAAGAGTTCAGTTTCATAATTTGCTCGATATCCCCCCGACATGAGCAGAATAAGTGCTCTTTAAAGTTTACGGCGCCTCAAATGCAACACGTTCAGGGAGTGAGAGTTTAATGAGTCGTTCAGGCGGACAGACACACCATGACGGAGGTTAAATGGAGAGAGAGCTGGTGCTTCAGACTGAGTGTGTTTCTATAAGCCGGCTGTCTCTCTGCACACTGCACACTGAACGTGATGCAGGCGCTAACACACACAGAGAGGCTGTGAGGAGCAGCTGAGACGCGTCAAACCTCCTCGTTCATCCCTCCTCGTTCATCCCTCCATCAGAACCTGGTGTTACATATGGAGAAACCTCAGTCTCTGCACCGCTTGTTGGAAACCGGGACATATTGTGTTCTTCTCGGTCAGCTGTTCTGTTCTCTGATACTTTAAGAGTGAACCTATACTTCTGCTTCATGGTTTTCACTTTCTTTGCTTCCATTTGTTCTGTTTTTCATTCAGCAGGTGAACCATATGTTCATCAAACAGTGTGTGTGAGCTTAACTGTGTGTGTTAAACTAAAAAGGGGCATTTCTGTCGGATCGGGGGGGGGGGGGTGTCGAATAATCGATTAATATTCGCCAGGGCTGTCCGATTAAGATCATGGTCAGTTTCTGGCATCCCTAGTGCTGATGTGTTTCAGTGTTGAATATGCTTCATGAAAGAATGGATCCTAATTGTAGTGCACAGAACAAAACTATAGTGCAATACCGGCCAAAATCACAGGATCCGAAGACAAGAACTCATCATCTCAATGATTTCAACATCTGAAGTGTCTTTAGTTTATTTTCAGCTGAGGGAATTCCAAAAGATGTATTTGTTATTCTCTCATTTTAAAATCTATAATTATCAATGTGTGTGCATGAATCAAATTGGTTGTGTCCCCAATTGCATTGTGGGTCATTTGACTGTTTCAGAAATGATGATAGTGAGGGAGGCTAGCAGCTCAAGTGGTTTTGATTTCATCTTGAACCTAGAGTCAAAGGGGGGGGGGGGGGGTTATGAAGAAGTGGAAATGCTGCCTTTCAGTTGTGTTTCTGCTTTTTCTAGAATCAGGATTGGTAGAAGAACAGGGAAACTTTCCACTGACTTATTTCCTTTCTCAGTATTTTGCAGAATGTTGAAGTCTACCAACAGTCAGTACTTTTTATTAAAGAGTCCCTATTATTCTGTTTGTGTTGTTCCCTGTCCTGTAGTGCATTATATAGTTTGTTGTTTCTCTAAATGGACTCCTTTGTTTACTTCAGCAACATAGTGACATCATTATAGAACACTCACGCTCCTATTGGCTAGCGCTCCAACATTTTGTACGTGATGGAGACATGTCCCAGTAGAGACCCTACATACTGATATACACCTGAACATCAGCAGGAGAGGACTCTTTAAAGTAGAGACCCTACATACTGATTTACACCTGAACATCAGCAGGAGAGTACTCTTTAAAGTAGAGACACTACATACTGATATTCACCTGAACATCAGCAGGAGAGGACTCTTTAAAGTAGAGACACTACATACTGATATACACCTGAACATCAGCAGGAGAGGACTCTTTAAAGTAGAGACACTACACACTGATATACACCTGAACATCAGCAGGAGAGGACTCTTTAAAGTAGAGACACTACATACTGATATTCACCTGAACATCAGCAGGAGAGGACTCTTTAAAGTAGAGACACTACATACTGATATACACCTGAACATCAGCAGGAGAGGACTCTTTAAAGTAGAGACACTACATACTGATATACACCTGAACATCAGCAGAAGAGGACTCTTTAAAGTAGAGACACTACATACTGATATACACCTGAACATCAGCAGGAGAGGACTCTTTAAAGTAGAGACACTACTATACAGATAAACACCTGAAATGAGCAGAATATTTTCAAATCTTAAAATGAATATGAGTAAATGAGGTCAGGTTTGCTTGCTGTCATCACTTTTTTTTACCTAACATTTGTGTTTGTGTGTGATTCAGACACTTTGATTTACCTGGTGAAGAACTCAGCTATGCCGAACCTCTTTGGCATCAGCCTGGATTCCGAGATCTCCGTCTGCTCGGCCAGATTCGGCAGATTATCCGGGGCGCTCTGCCTGCGACCCGAGTCCAAAACACTCCGGATGTCCTCCTCGTCTCCAAAATAAAACCCCCCTTCATCCTCATCTTCATCATCTGGAGATAAAGGTGTTGCATCACAGCTGAGGGAAACCACCATGTTGGGGTTAGTCCTCAAACTCTGCGGCCTGACGGGTAAACTGAGCTCACTGAAATCCTCCTGTGATAAAGAGGGGGAAGATGGAGGAAGTTCTGCCTCAGATGGTGCACTCTCTTCCAGGGGTAAAAAGGGGGAAGGTGGAGGAAGTTCTGCCTCAGATGGTGCACTCTCTTCCAGGGGTAAAGAGGGGGAAGATGGAGGAAGTTCTGCCCCAGATGGTGCATCCTCCCCTGTGGAAAGAGAGCCTAATGTCCCGGTGCATTCACTTTGGCTGCTAACTCCCAAACCTGCACTGTTTTCCTGCTCTGCCACCAGTTCAATACAAATATTAGTAGTGTTTTCATCCTGCAAATCACATGTGTGGTGCAAAAAACCACCATAAGCAACTACCTTCTCCTCCTCCTCCTCCTCACAGTCCACGTTGCAAAAACCCAGGTTAAAGTGAGAGATTTCTGCATCAGGATGACCGCTATCAACACCCCCGTTTTGCATGTTTGGGGAGGAAGAACCGGTGGAAGAACCGGTAGAAGAACCGCTGTCCTGGACGAGGTGTTTCCCGGTGTATTGAGGCTGATTTCTGATGTCATGCGCGTCTTCTCCCGGGGTTTCGTCCCGGTTTCTCCCCCAGACAGGAAGCCTGGCCCTCCTCTCCTTCCTCTCCTTCACCGGTCCTCGGCTCCTCCAGTGACTCCGTGAATCCGTTCAGGACCCCAGAAACCACACCTCTGTTCGGGGGAAGATACTCCAGATCCAACATGATCTCCCGGTTCTGTGTGTCCGGTTTCTCCCCGTTTACATGCCTCCCGTTACCGGTCACGTACAAAATATGACCCTTCCCGGTTTCCTGACCTCCAATGTATCCCCCCTCCGTTTTCGTTTAGATCGACACCTCCGTTCTCCACCGGTGTTTCCATGACCACTCAGTCCGAATAAAGAGCCTCAAACCTGGGTGTAAAATCCCGCAGAGACCCCCTCCCGTCCGGTGGATCCGCAACAAAAGCAGCAGGTTTTCTTGTTCCCGGAGGAAGAGGCTACCATTTTAACAACATTACCTCCAAATAAGCCCGGTTTGTCCCAAATAATGACTACAAAAATCACTAAAATCCTTAATTATTTTTCACCGAATTCACCCTGAAAAAGATGCATTAGGAAGATTTAAGATAAATCCAAAACATAGCTTCTTCTTGGGCTACCATTTCAGCCCCGTTACCTGACAATCACTGTGTTAACGTGTCTTTGAAAGATAACAATAGTTATATTTTGTTATCCCTCTTTATTTAAATCCTCCGATAGTTTTAGCTGCAGAATTCCAGCCACAGTCCACCGCCATCTTGGAAAAATACCCCAACAATGACGTCACCCTTCTTCTCCTCCTCTTCTTCTTCTGGTTTAATGGCGGGCGGCACTCAACGTTTAAGGTGCGTTACCGCCACCTACTGTGCGGAGTGTGAACATCAGGGGACGAGAAGAAATGACCACGAGATATAATAAATACAAATAGATATATTTAAATAAAATAAATAAAATAAATAAAATAAATAAAATAAATAAAATAAATAAAATAAATAAAATAAATAAAATAAATAAATTAAATAAATATACGGAGCCCCTAAACCAAAGGGACAAGGAAAAAAAAAGTCGGGATAACGGGTTAGTGTCTCGAGCACACGAGAAAGTATCTCGCCGCCTTGGGCTCTTTGGCTTTCCTGGAAAACAGGCTCCTGAAAGAGAGACGGAAACAAAGGGGTTAATAAATACTGCTGATTATAATAAACGAAAAAACATTTATTTCACATTTAGAATTTTAATTGGTTAGATATTACAAAAAGACAAATGATATTTATGAAGAGTGAGTTTTTACAAGCTATAAAATAATATAAATGTAATTTGGTTTATATTTTAAATGAAATCTGACAAAAAGAATTCAAGTACAAACATATATTTAAACATATTATAATTGTTATAAAATCTATTTGTATCAAAACAATTTCTATAAAATATATTTGATAAAATACAATGATTGATTAATAAATTAATTTATATTGTATTACAGAAACCAAACTTTAATATATTTTATATTGCTTCATATTTTTTGACACAAACAAAACGTTTAGGATAAAACAGAAAATATGTAATTGTTTTAAAGGTACCAAACAGATCACCCATTCTAGCCATGCCTCATATCCCTCTATTTCACTTCCTGTTTCTAAAGTGCTGATTCGGGGTATATAGCGCTTCTTTTTTTTTTTAAAGGGGCGGAGCTTATGCCTGTTCATGCGGCTGTGGGAGGCTGTGGCTCGGTGGATAGTGCGCTGAACTTCCAATCGGGGAGTAGCAAGTTCGAGTCCCACTGCAGTCAGCATGTCGTTGTGTCCCTGAGATAGAGATGGCAAATCCGGATCCTTTACGGACTCAGGGTCTTCTGAGTCAGTCATTGAAGAGATCCGGATCATACGAGTCATTTGAGTCATATGAGTCAGCATCACCAAGACCGTAGAAATCCTATCGGTGAAACCGAAAAGTTGTTGCATTTCACGAGCATATTAAACTGACGTTATATTAACCTCCGCTACACAGTGTATTTTGCTTTAATAAAAAATGTTGATCACAAAAAAAAGGGTTATTTTGCGATTTGGCAAATCTGAGTCTGCTGTTGACTCGTGCATGAGGACGAGTCTGCTGGATCTCTGGATCTGCTGCTATATGGTTACGGCTCTGAGTCCGCACGAGTCTGCTGTGTTTTGCACAGTGAGTCAGGATTTGCGAATCTGAGTCTGTGAAGTTCCGCTGACTAACTCGTAGGCTACTGGTCTCTCTCGATCATTGACCTGGATTCACGGATCCCGCGATTTTGATTAAGTCCATTATGTTTCCGGCTCTAAATGAAGTTTCAGTGTAGACTTCTAACAAAATTGTCATGTTGTGCAACAGTCTCCAGCGTGTAATAGCTGCATTTCCAATAAGGATCTTACTTGGCAAAACGTTTATTTTGAACATAGCACACAAAAAGAAACAAACAATGACAAATGATAGAAAATTGCAAAACAGTTAGAATATATAAAATTATTATTATTAAACATATAATTATATCTAATCATATGCCCCCCATATTTTCTCATGGACTGCGTAATCATTGCAATACTGGTGTTTGTATGTGTTAAATGTGTGTAAAGTGGTGTCTTTTGCTTTAATAAAACATATTGATCACAAAAAAAAGGTCATTTTGCGATTTAGCGAATCTGAGTCTGCTGTTGAATCGTGCATGATGACGAGTCTGCTGGATCTCTGGATCTGCTGCTATACGGTTACGGCTCTGAGTCTGCACGAGTCTGCTATGTTTTGCACAGTGAGTCAGGATTTGCGAATCTGCGAATCTGCGAGTCTGCTGTTGACTCGTGCATAATATAGCCGCGGGAGCCGGGTGCTGGAGGAGGGGCTATGCTCGTGCACATGACGAGTATGGATCTCTGGATCTGCTATGCTATTAAGGCCCCTACACACCAGGCCGATATCGGCCGTCTTGCGTTGTTGGGCGAAAACGGGTTCCTTGTCGCCCAAAGTCAATTTTGGTGTGTCCCGAACCCTCGGCCGTGACACGCCTTATTTGGCCTTTCACGGTCGACACCCGGCCGATTCAACATGTTGAATCGGCCGGGTGTCGGACACAAGCTATCGGGCCAAGAAACCACTCTGATCAGCTGTTCAGCTAGCAAATGAGAAGCGAAACGGAAGTGAGGGACGTAAACAAACGATTTAAGGCACAAGACAGCAGCTAAACACCAGCAGGTGATACTTAAAGACATCAAACATAGCCCTTAAATGTCCTCTCTTACCTCCCACACATAGCAGGGACATCTCTGATATCGGCGGGAGCGTCCCCGGCTGTCCTCTGCTGAGAGCTCCGTGATTTGTTTGGTCAAGTCCGGTTTTTCATCTCATCGTAAATTTAGCAAGAAGTGGCCATTATTACATTGCTGACTCAATAAACTACACACCCGCCAGAACACTGCGATCATCAGAAGCAGGTCTATTAACTGTGATTTTATAGTATGTCTGCACTTTATGTGCTCATTTCATCATTCATGTATTTTTATATTCTAAAACATGTTTTCGATGGACGAGAGTGAAAATGGAACGCACATGCTATTTGTTTGTTTATATCAGTCTGTTCTTCTTCTCTGTCTTCCGGTTGTTGCCTATTTTGAATGACGAATACACACTACCGCCGCCTGCTGGTAAGGAGAGTTATTGTCACTCACGCATGCGCAGTTCGTACGTGCTCGGCTGAAGTCTTTGCGGTGTGTTCCAGTGCGACACACGGCCAATAGGCAGGAGAACTCGTCGATGGAACTGTCGGTGTCGGGTGTCGGCGAGTTCTCTGGTGACTGCCTGGTGTGTCAGGGCCTTTACGGTTAGGAGCCGTCGGCTCCTCTGAGTCCCCACGAGTCTGCAGGAAGTTTCACTGATCCGCGTCCCCTCCCCTGAGCCAAACGATCACTTCTGGCAGCTATCCTACTTGCTAAAGGGTAGATGGACTGGGGTACGTTGTAATGTGATTTTACATGTTATAAAGAGAGTAGCGAGTGACGCAATTTATAGTTTTAATTTGTACGTCACACCAAGTGTGGGACTCAAAGGACTCGGGTTAATGGAGAGGGGAGACTCGTCACGACCAGCTCATTTCTAGGATCCGGGTTAATGGTCCGGATGAATCAAGACTCGCCCATCTCTACCCTGAGACACTTCACCCCAAATTGCTCCTGTGGGGATTGCCCACAGTACTGAATGTATGTAAGTCGCTTTGGATAAAATCATCTAACAAGTTAAATGTAATGTAATGTAATGCTGGACCCGGCAGATACTGTCTAAAATAAATGCTGCGGTGATGAAACGCCAAAACCACATCAAGGATTATTTCTGAAACAGTATGGAGCTCAAAGGCTTTCTCTCTTGCCGGTTATACCACAAGGTGAGTTCCTTTTTATTTCCTGCTTCTTCACACACATGCTCTCCAGTACAGGTTAGCTCTGAGTGTTAGCGATGCTAATGTAAACAAAGGCCATATTACATCCAAAACACGTCGGGCATTGATTCTGATAGCAACTTTCTGATAGGCCCGTGGGTGCCATCCGATATGACATAAATATCTTCATATCGGATGGCAAATCTGGATCAGCTCGTTGAAGCCCGTTTTCAGAGATTTGCGTACGGAGGAAAAGAGAGAGGGTTTTATTTTCTGACGCTGCGTGAGTTCCCTGACACACCGGGACACATAGTTATGTAGAAAAGACATACAAAAGTGCATTTGCATGATAGGTCCCCTTTAATAAACTTTTGTAAATGTTATTTAATATCGTTATTTTTGCAAAATCTATTTTATTTATTTATAGAAAACATTTCTATAAATTATATATTGTATAGGTTGATTAAAACAGCAACAAACGTTTAAGATGAGATAGAAAAGTAATTTTTTTAACATCTGTAATATTTATGTTATTTAATGCTCAGTTAGATTTCCAGTTTTCCCATTTTGTGACTTATTCTGCGAAACACACACAAAACGCACATTATTGATATTTGAAGGATTATTTATTATTATTACTTTAAAACATTGCGCGCACTTTGGATCCCCGCAACATATGTGAAAACTCACCAAATGTTGCACGTGCGTCAGAAGTGGTGAAAATTGCGATGTGTAATTGGTTCCGGAACTTTACGCAAAAAATTGCGCAAGCCACGCCCACTTCCGTTTTTTACGGAAACTCCCCCCACTTTAACTTTCACGTAAACGAACGAAACTCGCTACGTATATATAGGGTGCGGAGACGAACATACTTGGAGGGGTATACACAAAACGTT